GAATCGAACTTTTTCGCAACGATTGCTGTAACTTGTCTAGAAACTTTTTTCAAAAATTGCGCTGTAGGTTACATACTGCACTGCTCCATGCAACTTGTGTTCCAACGCCTTTTGAGAAATAGAGAAAGCATCATGGGGTAGGGCCTTTCCACGTGTGTAATATCCAATAGTGCATCGCGCAATATGTTAGWACCCTAATTTCCATAGACCTAATCGGCTAACGTGTTGCTATAAACGTTTCCACCCAATAAGCCTGAAGCGAGATGACGTTTTACCCCCGTCTCTAGACCATAATCCTTTTCACACTGCTTTTGTTCTTTAATTATGACTATTGTTTCTGTATTCTCTGAGGAATCAAAAATGTTAACATGAAAGAATTTTAAAAACTATTATGGTATAGAGTCGGGGGTAAAACATCATCTCGCTTCAGGCTTATTCAAACCACATGGGGGTTAGTTTCATTGTTCGTTATATTTTGGTTTCAGAGTTGAATTCGTAGAGACAAACGCTTCTATTCCCAGGTTTGAATTGGGTGGTAACGWACATAGCAACGCGTTAGCCGATTAGGTCTATTCACGAGTAGAATTCCCATYCTTTCTTGCGGTTTTTTCATTGCTCTTTATTATCTCACTCTTTATGCGTTAAGTCTTATAATACCATGATCACCTTGGATTCTTTTGGCTTCCGAGGGCTTTACAAACCCGAATTTCCCGCATGCATAGAATATGAGGGAAATTTARAAGACAAAGAAATACTTTGTCTTTTACTAAATTTCCCTACATTTAATGTATGCGACATGGAAATTTAGTGATTTCCCTCGTTATTCGGGGAAATATRATCACTAATTTCCCTCGTGCCATGGTATTACTTACAAATATATCCCAACTATTTATTTCGCCTCCTGTAAATGAAATTATTTCTTTATTTTCATCTGTTAATGTATCTGATCATGAAGCGTTTAAGGGATTGTCACTTGGCCATGACAATAGTCATGGTTTGTGTTCTTTCTTAGTTCTGAATGAAGAGGTTCTCATATTTTGATCCTCAAAGATCTCGCGAAAGTGTAGCTTGGTTGGTTGGTGTGCTGCCTGCTAAGCAAGAGGTCCATAGTGACTTCACGCACTCTTTTCTTTATTGACTCACGCACATTCTTCTCGTACTGTTCGCATTCACTCATGAAGAGAATCTACCGGTGAATAGACYGTTTTCTYWAGGTTGCGTGCGCATCCAAATTTAAGGAACTTGACGGGSCACGATACCAGAACAGGAGCTACATAATAAGAATTATCATACATATATCTATTAGATTATTTTTCAATTTATCAAATCTATTATTTTCCTCTTTAAATATAAAACTGGCTTCTCAATTTCACTGAATTTGCGTTTTTCAGTTTTGTGGCCCGTCAAGTTGGATGCGCACGCCACCTTGAGAAAATGTTCTATACAGCCGACTCTTAGTCGTCATTCACCATCAACCTTCGATACACCGATCCCGCATTCATTGTACTAACTCCCTAGTTACTGTTGCTACGTCGGACAAGCTAAAATGTGTGTTTTTAATATGCAGCGTGGAACAGACACCGATTGCTGAAAACTTTAGTGCCTAGCTGTCTTAGAATCAATGGATTCTAAAGATACATTAAGAAAATAATCTATAACAACTACTGAAAAGATCTTATGAATTCGAGTTTGTTGGTCGGACATTCTGTACTCCATTKGGGAAACTACCCATTGTTTGGTCTTTTGATTAAACTGCAGATATTTCAATAAAAGAGATTAAAAAAAGAAAGCATGCACAGATGGAAGATGTTTCCGAAACAAAAACATTTCGGCTCGAGCTAATTTAAAAAATATTCTCAA